TTTTATTTCGACAATGAGGAAATTGTGATTCCCGAAGTATCACGAACTGCGCGATATAGAGCGGTATTTGAAGCGCGAAATTTTACGTTCTCGTGGTGTAAAGAGTAAGGAGGACGAAGAGTTTCCGCTGGTGAATCGCGTCAATAACAATACGATGAAGAGTGAGATCAAATGCGTCTATTCGATAAATTTCATCAAACCTTACAACATTGGACAGCTGTTGGGATTTTCATCGAATCGCGTGCTCGAACCGCAACAGTGGCATGAATCAGACGTGCCGATAAATATCATCAACGTAAACATTATTCGTATCGAGTGCAACGTGACCGCGGGTGCGTACAGCAACGACAAGTGCGTGCACACGATACACGAGTTTTCACCGATTGTCCCACCAGGATATAAGATATCGGAAAGGCCGACGCAAATCATTTACCTTCCGATCGTCGTACGGAGCACTACGGATCTGACGATTCGCGTGGATCAAGACGGCCGATTGCTCGATTTTCGTGGAGAGGAGATTACCGTTAGATTGCATGTATGAAGACGACGGCGCTAACGTGAGATGCTTGTGCTGAATGAACAACCGAAATAGATGAGGGATTTTAACGGAGAGATTTCATCTAGAAAAAGACTCAGTGCGTCCAACGTTGCATTTTTAAAGTCGTTAGGTTTTATCGTACGAAATGGCTGATATCTTGAACATTGTCGGTGAGCCGATCTTTGACGATCGCATCGTCAAGTTTGAATTTCATACGTACAATCCATACGCCAATACAACGTTTGGACATAGCGACGAGATACGAATACCTATACAGCAGCAAGATTTATACACGTTGCCATGCGAAAGTTTTCTCTACATTGAAGGAAGATTGACCGTGAAGAAGAAGGATGATAAGACGCCAACAACGCTTGGAAATAATTGCATAGCGTTCATGTTTGATGAAATTCGGTATGAACTCAACAGTGTGGAGATTGATCGCAACAGAAATGTTGAAATTATTAGTACCCTCAAGAACTATGTATCGTTGACGTATGACAAGTCTTTGATTGCGCTAAACACTGGGTGGAATTCTATATTCGACATAACGGAAGGTTACTTTAACTTTTGCGTACCGCTCAACATACTGTTGGGCTTTTGCGAGGATTACAAACGCGTGATTGCTAACGCTCGCCATGAATTGATTTTGATACGAGCGCGCAACGATAACAATTGTATACTGGGAAATTCAGCGACGGAGCCGGAGGTTGAACTGATCAAAGTGCAATGGCGGATGCCTCATGTTATGCTAAACGAGATCACTAAACTATCAAGCGAGCATTGGAAAGCGGTCGTTATCTCAGTATGAGTTTTCGCTCATGGGATCTGTACGAGTATCCTCTGTTACAGAGTACGACGAAGCATACATGGGCTGTCAAAACGGCGACTCAACTCGAGAAGCCACGTTACGTTATCTTTGCTCTTCAGACCGGTCGAAAGAATATCATGTCTCAAAATGCGAGCGTGTTTGATGATTGTAAATTGAGTAATGTGAAGCTTTATCTCAATTCAGAGTTTTATCCGTACGGTGATTTGAATCTCGATTTCGACCAAAAGAGATACGCTCTCCTGTTTGATATGTACGCGCGTTTTCGTAAGGCATATTACGGAATCGACTGCTTCGAAACGCTGCTTAATGTACTCTCGTTTATTGAGAAAGGACCGTTTGCTGTCATTGACTACTCGCGACAAAACAAATCCGTCAAAAGCGCTACCGTGGATGTACGAATAGAATTTGACTGCAAGGAGAATGTATCCGCCAATACCACCGCCTATTGCCTCATCATACACGATCGTGTTATCGAATACTGCCCGCTGTCCAACGTAGTGCGCAAGATTATGTAAATCGCACCGTCAGCAATTATCTTCAATTTAAGAGAGATTAACACTGATATGAGTGCAGTTTCGAATAAATGCTCGTCATGATCATACCAACGTTTGTGGATCTACAAGGATTCGTCGTAGACAAGAAATTTATCGTCAAGGAAGTAGCGGTGCTGAGAAGAGGAACTGTTATCACACACTACATTTTTTCATGTCCTATACCATGGAATTTACTGACAAGATCCGACAAATCTTGCGCTTCCTAGTTGAGTGCTTATCACCATGGATTGCGATGGGAAGACGGGATGGTCCCGTACAGCATGGCGAAACGTCTAATCACAGAGGCTGTAACAGAAGACGATGAAGCTCTCGTATATGTAAAGGGGCTTGAAAAACGACAATGGCTATCCGATATACTCGATTGCGATAATGTGATCGTTGAAACTCTAGATGCGCATTACGAAGATGTAGAATCCCTACGTAGCTTATAGCGTTTTCCACTGGGAAAACTGATGCAGCACTAGCGCCGTGCTAAGTTTATATGAAAACTGCATTAGTGCAGTAATAGTGCAGACTCAGGGGAACACATTCGATACTGGCTGTATCACTGTACACTTCGAACATAACCTTAAAAAATGAATCCAGAAAGCAAATTACACTTTCGATTAAACGAAGAAGTTTCCTATTTTGATACGGAATGCATGGAAAGTTGTGATGCGAAATTAATATAAGGTAATAATAATAATAATTTTTCAATATTGGCATTTTTCTTTTTATCGTACTTTTAATAAAATATTTCCAATAAAGAGTTTAAATAATTTTGTTGTATATATTTTAAATAAGAATTTATGTTTGAATATTTATTTTTAGATAATAATCAATATGCAATTAAATATATAATAAACCTAATAAACAATGGGACCATAATTCTGCAAGAGCCATTAAAAACTATCTACAGAATTCGAAATAATGAACATATTATCATATATAAAGCAGATAAAGAGGAATTTCAGAGTCAATTTCAGTCAGAACTAGAAGAATTTGAGGAAGATATT